AAACCAATGAGGTTGATGTGTGCGAGTTAATGACGCGCCTCATCAACACATTGTGTTGGAGTTCACTGCTTGTTTTCATATAGTTTCATTGCGTACCAATTTCTCCTACGTTTTTCTTTCATTCTCTTTGATGGCAGAAGTAATTATATGCTTTTTTGGAGAAAAAGGTGAGATAAGAGGGGGATCAAGGCGTCCTTGAAATTTTCCTGATTAAGGAGAAGGAAGAGTTAAGCAAACCTGAAGGATAAGCTAAAAATAGAGCAAGCGCCCATTTCTTAGAAAAGATCAATGGGGACCGGCAATGGGCGCTAATTATAGACGAATCCTCAGAAGGGTTCTCTTTCTCTTCTTTTGTATTTGGAGGCATCCCCAAATATTAAGTCCATATATCAAGTGAGGCATTCGAGAGGGAGGAGGGTCAAGAGGCGCCTTACGGAATGGGATGATGGGGAGGGGGTCAAGCACCGCCATACGTAAAGTAAAATACCTGCTTAAAAGAGAAAACAATGAAAACCTACCTAAAAGTGTCTAAAATATATGAACTGAAGGGAAGAAATTAGAAAAACAGAACTGTCATGTTTTATGCTCGTCTTTTTTTTCCCTTTTCATTTTTCTTTTTTGTAGCATCTGCGTCCACGTACACAATTATTATTTAAAACTAGCGAAATGCCCGTGACTGGAGTCACGTGTCTAGAGGCCGCTAAAATATCTATAACCCCGAAAAAATGGTGGTAGGGGAGCAAGTCATGCCCTACATCGATAGAAAAATGATTTGTGGGGAGAGGGTGTTAGACCTAGAAAAATGAGCTGCGGGTGGGGGGGGGGGTAGAATAAATGCTGGCAAAAAAATTAGAACTAACCTAGCAATGATTTATTAAAAAAAGAAAGAAAAAAATGAAAAAAAGAAAAAAATAAATTGAAATAAAACATCAGCTGATATAGCAAACAAAGGTTACCAAGGAAACCAAGGAATGGAACTTTCATAAAAACAGTTTAATGGAAAACGGCGTAAGTAGGGCACTTACGTTAATTACCGTTTATAAGTAAACGGTAAATGCGATTTAACCGAAAATTTATACAGTTCTTCATAAGACCAAAATGGACAAAATTGCAAAATTTGAAGAAGCTAACGTATATCTAACGATAGTTATCTTGAACGAAAGAATTGCTGACATAGGTCGGGTAACTATTATAGGTGGGATGGGATGGGATGGGATGGGATAGCTGTTCCTAGAATACACTTGATGCTTCAAACGGAGCCAATATTGTTTTAATGACATTTCCGGATAAATCGCGTGGTTTTTCCAGGAAGAAAGCCTCACGTCTTTTCCAGACTCTACTGTTGCCAGATATGCTGCTTTTCCAGTATTTTTCCCCCTTTCAAACCTATGTAAAATATTCTCAGTATCGCACAATCTGGCAACGCCGGACTGGAATAAAAAGTGGAATGAATGAAGAAGTGCAAAGTGAGAAGTTGAAATCCTTCGAAGTTTATATTCATGAATATGATGATGGAGAGGAGGAGGGGCGAGGGGGGAGGGGGCGTGCGACCACACTCAGGCATTGAAACTAGCTTGCGCGGGTCTCATCAAACCGATGCTTGCGCCATGTTTTTAGAGACTTCCTTATGCCACTGAGGCCGATGGCAGCTCGGTAGGTCAACCGAGATTCTGCCTACTGGCGCTCCATAAGTAATTTATCAAATCCTGGGAGCTCTTACTGGATTGAGTAAAGCGAGCTAGCTGTGATTTTTCACGTGATCAGAAAAATTAAGGGAAAAATGATGATTTTTTTCTTTTTAATATTTTTGTTTCTTTCCAGAAGGAGTTAACCCCTCTTCTCACCAAAATTCTGAAATGCATCAGGAAATGCTGAACATTGAAGGCGTTAAATGGTATTAAGTTTTAATCGTACAAGTCTCGATAATTGAGTGCCACACCAATGTAATGTGAGTGCCACACCCACTTATGCTGAGAGATCTGTATATTGCGACGGAGGGTGCGGGTCTCCTTTCCCTTACAATATGTTCCATGCTGCATCTCAGTCGACCTTCCGCGATGCAGTCAGCTTGATTGGCATAAAAAAGTCTCCAAAAGTACATGACGGAAACATCCTTCTGATGCGACTTACGCAAGCCCGTTGCGCTGCTGGAGTTCGGTTGCCCGCTTACCTCCCATCCACCTCCCCTCATCCCTCTCCCCCC